TTTCGCTATAGGGCGCGTGCACTCACCAGACAGACAGAGAGAGACATAGAAACAGAAAGCGAGAAATCACCCCCCAAAGGGGATGGTCACACCACAATCCCTTCTCCTCCATTCTCCTCTCCTCTCCCGATTTTTTTTTTTTTTTTTTTACAGAGAGAAACAGAGAGACAGAAAGAGAGAAATCATCCCCCAGGGGGGATGGTCACCCTGCAATCCCCTCTCCTCCATTCTCCTCTCGGGATCTTGGGCACACACGCACACGCGCCCGGTGTGAGTTTTAAGCCACCTGGTCTGGGACGCAAACCACGGTCGACTATGTGAGAATCCAGCGACATAGCCATTATGCTAACTGCTGGTTCCTGAGAGCCGTGCATTTCTAACCACCTCTCATTTCTTGCTGATGCTGCTGACCTACAGACCACACTTCGAATATTAATGATGTGGAGAAACACTGTTAAATCGATGGCTCATGGGGAAAATGGAGAAAATTGAAGAAGAGTTAGAACGAGACCTCATAGGACTTCTCAGCTCTGATGTTCTCCTGGGTTTCAGGGAAGACTCCATGTTCCTTTACTTTTTTATGAACTTTGACTAGAGCACAGGCTCCATTTAATTTGTTTTTTTCATTTTTTTTGTGGGTGTTTTGTTTTGCTTTGCTTTGGGTTTAGCCTGTCTCTGCTTGTTTGTTTTTAATTTTTATAATCCTATGGGGTCAAGAGAAGAGGAACATAATTGGACACCGTGTGGTTTTATCCTCAGAAAGCTGACTCAGAGCCAGGATGTCTGGATTCTATGAGAGATTTAAAAAACAAACAAACAAAGGTGGTTTTCCTCCTTTACACTCAACACTTCACTTCTAATTCCAGATGGATGAGTTTTTTTCCTATACAACAAGCAATTCTCCAGAGGACAGCTGCCATATGACCTAAAATTTAATTCCATTCTACACTATATGGAGAGCGCATCAGATCCTACAGGTTAAGGTTTCAGTCTCACAAGATTCCCCCACTTGAGACACCAGTAGTGAGCTCCAGGTAGACCTGTGTTTCTGACCCTCTGTCTGTATCAGAATTCCCACACCCACCCTCCTTGGGTTCAATTAATTCATTAAAGCAGCTTACAGAATCAGGAAAATGTTCTACTTGTGTTTACTATTTATTATAAAAGTTACTACAAGGGTGACAGATGAACATTCGGAGAGAAGAAATATATGGGATGAGGTGTGGAAAAGGGGGCTCTGAGCTCTGATTCCATTTAAATGTATGAGGGCTGGAAATGCAGTCCCAGCTGGCGGCTTCATCCAGACACGTACATGAGGAAGAGGAGCCCAAGACACCCTCGCAGCAGAACAAATAAACCCCAAAAGAAAGTCTTGAGCAACTTCTCCATTTGTTTCCCTGTTTCTAAGGATTCCAAGTAAACTTCTGCTATTTTTACTCATAATTGCTCTGGAAATACAATTGAGAATGTCAAACAACCTTAAAACTTCAGCAAACTCTTTCAGAATGTAAACGTCAACAAGTACATCTCAAAATTATCCATATTCGATGAAAGTTAAACTGAAATAGCTTTAATTTTGACAGTGTTTACTATTTTTGTTGACTCAAAAGTGTGCTCATAACCAATATTCCTAAGGCGTGGAATATATAGAAATGTATTCTCTAAAAACATTCTTTGCACAGATTTTCAGTTTGCTAATTGTTCCTGAAAGGCAGACCCCTGATTTTGACATATGGGCATATAATGGAAGCACTAGTGAATATTCACTTCACGTAAGATCTGACTGTTATCTCCGTGCTACTTCCCTTTTATGTTTTGTTTATACAATACATACATGTTTATGTTTTGTGTATGTTTGTTTCACTCTTACAAGTTTTAGAAGCAAAAGGTGCTTGAACCTGATATGTTCATAGAAAACACATATTTTAAGATAATGCATTTAATTAAATGTAGTTTCTTTGGCATCATAAAACATCAGAGTTAACCTGTTTTAGTTCAAACATTCCATTCTTCCTACCCCAAAAAACTTTTTTATAGCTGAGGTGTATACAGTGAGAAATACAGGAAAAAACATGTTCTACAAGTATTGTTTTCATGAGATTTCACATGACTTTTGCCATTCAACTCAACTGTAGTTCACCTGGATGAAAAAGAAAGAAAAAGAGAGAGAAAGAAAAAGAAAGAAAAGAAAGAAAGAAAGAAGAAAGAAAGAAAGAAAGAAAAAGAGAGAGAAAGAAAGAAAGAAAGAAAGAGAAAGAGAAAGAAAGAAGAAAAAGAAAGAAAGAAAGAAAGAGAGAGAGAGAGAGAGAGAGAGAGGGAAAGAAAGGAAGAGAGAAAGAAAAAAAGGAAGAAGAGAAAGAGAGAAAGAGAAGACAAAAAAAGAAAGAAAGAAAGAAAGAAAGAAAGAAAGAAAGAAAGAAAGAAAGAAAGAAAGAAAGAAAGAAAGAGAAAGAAAGAAAGAAAGAAGAAAGAAAGAAAAAGAAAGAAAGAGAAAGAAAGAAAAAAAAAGTTTTTAGTGTTTAGGTATAGCCTACTAGGCACCAGGTTTCTCACATTATTAGGAGCACATTTCTGTGTCCATAAAGAAATCTGTTTTGGAACCAGTAAATGGTGTAATGGTTATATCACTGAACTTTCATGTGGTTCGAGTCCCAGATCTGGTGGTTAAAAACTCATGTCAGGCCCAAGATCCTGAGAAGAATGGAAGAAAAGGGATTGAGGTGTGGCCATCCCTCCAGGGGGGTGATTTCTCTCTTTCTGTCTTTCTGACTCTCTTTGTTTCTTTGGCAAGCTCATGCAACCAATAGCAAAAATCTCTCTTAAAAAAAGAAAGAAAAGAAAGAAATTTGTGTTTCTTTTTATAGTGGACACCTACTCTAGAGCACAGAAGAGGACATCCTTAAAGTATGACAAGTGTGTGAGATTTCTCCTCAGGTTGATGCCATAACCCTTTTAAGTCAGTGATGACTCTGTAATAAAGTCATTAGATTAAAAATTGCACAATTGCTTGATATAAAATTTCTAACCTTTTTTTGTTGTATATAAGAAAATATATATATATATATATATATATATATATATATCAAACATGAGAATGCCTTTGACAGAAGTAGCTCCACTCTCCAGGAACAGGTGGTAGTTTCTAGAAGCTGCCTTGTAGAGGGTATTGTCTACAATATCCCCCCCCCAGGGGATAGACTCTGAATCTAGCACCCAGTCCCTTTCAGAATAGACTAGAGAAGTCTTCCAACTAATGACAGGCTTTGGTGGTTTGTGTCTTAAAAGTCCCTCACTTCTGGCAAGTTCTAATAAGTCCCACTGGAACACCTTATCCCCCTTGGACTCCCCAATACACTCCATGCCAGAGCTCTACACAGCATCTCCACCCCTTGGAGAGTTTTCTGGAATCAGATGACTTCTCAAGGTCCTTTCTTTCCACTTCCACTGCACCACGAAGGACTCCAATTGCATCAGGGGAAAGCTGAACTGCAGAGGTAATGCCAGGAGCTTGTTCATTGTCACACAGGTCCTGCTTCCTGACAGCTTCACCTGGACCATCTGAAGATTGGGGAATGAGGGCAGTGCTGGGGTTCATGAAATTCAAATAATGCCAAGCCTGTGGGCCTGGACTGATACGTAGTCTAAGGGGTGTGATCTGTGGTTCTCTGTGTTTCCTAATTACATGTCCAGCTGAGGATGGGAACAGAAATTGAAAAAGGCAATTGTTTTGTCTCTCTTTCCCAGCAGAGGTTGGTGAGCATGAGGTTTCATGGCCTCTACAGTGAGCCCTCAAGAACTGCCAGCTAGGTGGAATCCATCAGAAAATAAAATCTTTTTCTGAGGGTCCTGATACATTTTCAATCAGGAACAGAAGTGGGGTTTCTGCACCCTTCACAGAAATTCACAGAATGCAGGACCTCATCCCAACCTTCAGGTGCTTCCCTTTCTGAGATCCCCGAGTACAAATATGGGAGCTCACCAGGTTGTCTTATTTTACTTGGCCCCAACTTCCTCTTAGATGTGTTTTGGCAACTAGTTTTTTGCTATTCTCACCATTATACTCTAAGCATTGGTAAGGAGATTCACTTCTCTCTAATAATGTGATCATTATTATTCTGCTATGGGAATAATTTGAGGGGAAGTTAAGGCTAACTTTTTTAAATAGTGTCCACAAATAATGGTAAGTAGGTATAGGAAAAAGCTAATTTTGTTTTATATATCAGAGAACATGAAGGAAAACTTAAAAACATTAATGCTAGATAAAAGAAGAAAGTACGCATCAAATCATCTTGTTGACTTACATTGTTATAAACAAGGCTGAAAATTTGGCTTTCAGACTGAACATCCAGTGAGGTGAATGAATTTCAGGGACTATTGTGAGCTGTCGTGAGCCATGCTTGCCAGGTCAGTACAATCACAGGCCATCCCGAAGCTGCTGCTCAAGATGAATAGTCGTTGGTCCCAGTTGGAGTGTCCACTGCGTATGAGGAATGCATTCAATGCATAACGTACATATTCCTCTTCACGCAGACCTCGCGAAGTCAGTATTATTGCTTTTCTCCTTTTGAAAAAAAGATAAAACAGGCTTGGATTGGTTAAAAACTATACTCAAGATGATACAACAAATAAAAGTACATCTGACCTGTAAGCCTTTACTCTTTAACTGTTACTTTATAGTGCCTTTCTCTCTCTCTCTCTCTGTACACGCACACACACACACGGCGTGAGAATCTGTCTGAAGGCAGAATGTGTAAAGCTTATTTTTTTATTTTAATTTTAATTTTTTATTTACATTTTTTAATACATTCAATCACGCTATTTAGCTTACAAGGTGATCATTTCAATATGTGAACATTTCTCCCTGACCCAGTTGATCAAAATATAACAATACTACCTCCCTGTCTCAACAATGCTGTGTAAAGTTTATTAATGTCATTAATGTTTGCTTTTCTCATACTTAATTAAATTGATATTCAGTCAGTCAAAAATATGTATTGAACACCTACCACATTCTAGGAACAATGTATGGTGAAATATATCAACTTTTAATTATTTACTAAATAAAAAAAATCTCCTTTAATCTAAGAACATATTTTAAATGCAATTTCTTTTTTGTTTTTTTCCCATCTATTTATTTTACATTCATTCACTGTACATCATCACAACATAGAAAATGTAATTTCCCATCCAGAATACACTGTTATTGATTTTTTAAAGAATTTTACCACACATTATCGTCAATAAATAATTTTTCATTTCTTTTTTCTCATATATTCATGCTTTCTTTTCTTTTCCCCTTGATTCCCTGCTTCTCATCCTCTGCATTTCCCACCCTCCTCCCACACTGCCTTTGGTATCTACAGTTGCTTTCCATACCTTTTATGAATTATAAGATAGTATTTTCCAAGGATGCACATAAGACAACCTACATGCAGGCTCTCCTGTGTAATCAAAATCACCTAAGCATTGTCTTTCCTTGATGGTTAGCAATGTTGAGCTTTTTTAATTTAATGCATTTGCTGGCCATTGTATGTCTTATTCTGAAAAATGTTCTTTCAAATCATCTGCCCACTTCTAAAATAAGATTATTTGATGTTTTGATTATGGGATTTTTTTCATTTCTTTGTACATTCTGGTTATTAATTCCCTGTTGGATTTACAATCAGCCTTCCCAAAGTTCATGGATAATACATATTACCAAAAAAAAAAAAAATACTCATGGGTTTACAAATTGTTTGCACCAAAATAAACTCATACTTTAATCTTATTTTTTTCATAAATTTTTTAAAGTTCCTTTGTATAGTTTATAAATATTTTATCTCTTTCTGTTGGTTGTCTCCTACTCTGCTTGTTTCCTTTGCTATGCAAAAGCTCTTTTTAGTTTGATAGAATCCTGTTTGCCTATTTCTGCATTTGTTGCCTCGACTTACGAGGTCCTATTCAAAAACTCTTTGCTCAAACCAATGTCCTAAGACATTTCCACTATTTTTTCCAACAGTTTATATATTTTGGTCTTATATTTAAATCTTAACCTATTTTTATTTTAGTTTGACCTTTGCATATAGTGAGCAATAGGGCTCTAGTTTCATTCTTCTGAATAAAGTGTGTTCTCACAATTTACTCAAGACACCATCCTTTCCCAATTACTGTTCTTGGCACCTTTGTCAAAAATCAATTGGCTGCATATATGTGCATTTATCTCTGGATCTAACATCACTCATCAGCAAGGTAATTTAAATCAAAACCACAATGGATATAATTTCATCCCTTTTAGGATGTATCACCAAAAAGGCAATATATAACAAATATTGCTGAACACAGAGAAAGAGGAGCTCTTTTACACTGTTGGAGGGAATGTACATTAAATAGCCATTATGGAAAACAGTATGGAGTTTTTGCAGAAAAATAAATGGAGAATTTCAGTATGATCCAGCAATCCTACTACCAGGCATATATACAAAGAAACAAAAATCAGCATGCCATAGGGAAATTTACACTCATGTTTGCTGAAGCACTATTCACAATAGCCAAGATATGGAATCACCTCATGTATACATTGACAGAGGAACTTTAAAAAAAAAAATGTGGTATGCATATACAGTGGAATAATACTCAGCTATTAAAAAGAATGAAATCTTGTCACTTGAAGCAACATGGATGAGCCTGAAGGATATTATGTTAGGTGAAATAAGCCAGTCCCCAAAAAAGAAAAATTACATATTCTTACTCATATATGAAACAAAAAAGCCATTTTCTTAGAAGTAGAGACTAGAATAATGGTTACCAGAGGCTGGGAGGAGTATGGGTGAGGGAAGATGGAGAGACAATGGTTAATAGACATGAAATTACATACAGATATAAGAAACAAGTTTTAGTGTTCAATAACACAGTAGGGTAACTAGAGTAACAATTGTTTATATCAATATATATCAAAATAGCTAAAAAAGAGGGTTTTGTTCAAATATTCTCAACACAAGAGTAATGATATGTTTGAAATTATGAATATGCAAATACCCTGATTTGATCACTACACATTATATTTACATACCATAAAATCATACCGCATAAATATGCACAATTATGTGTCAATTAAAAAATTTAAATCCTCTAAGAAATCACTTAAATACTGGAAGTATTGAAAGCAGTAGAATTATTGCAGAAATGCCTAATAGGGAGGTAGAAAAGAGAGACTTTGAAAGGGGGAAATTGTGTGAGAGGGAAGTAAGACCAGGAATAAGAGAGGAAAGTAAAAGGAGGGTTAGAGAAGGAAAGATACAACAAAGACAGTGATATATCGAGGTGTGGGAGCACGGATGAAGGAGTGTTCTATGCAGGATACTAATGGTAACAAACATTTCTTATTATTTGGAAGTAAGCCTTTCAATTCTTTAGTTCAACTGAAGACTTTAAAATAGCTCTCATTTTAGTAATGTTGTATGACTCATTCCAATACCATCAGAAAAGGGTTTGCCCGCCCATCCAGTCTTAAGTTTTACTTTTAGAAAAATAACCCCATCTAGTACTGACAGGTTTGTTTCATGTTCAAAGAAATGAATTCAGTCTTAGATATTTACTTTGAAACCACACAGATGCCAGGTCATTTATTAGTCATCAAAGGCTTTGCCAAATTTTTAAATAACTAACTTGTACATACATATAAAATATATCAGCGAAAGCACAAAACAATGCCTGAATGTTGCATTTGGAACTCAGTTGCATTTAATTTCCTTTTTAGTACCTTTCTTCCCTCATCTAATCTTTTGGCAAATTTAATTCATTTGAGTCCAAGTAAGAAACTTCTTTTTCTTTTTTTGGAGAGGTTTTTGCTATAGGGCGCCTGCGCTCGCCAGACAGACAGAGAGAGACAGAGTGACAGAAAGTGAGAAATCACCCCCCAGGGGGGATGGTCACGCCGCAATCCCTTCTCCTCCATTCTCCTCTTGGGATCTTGGGCACGCACGCACACGCATCCAGCGTGAGTTTAAGCCACCGGGTTCAGGACACAAACCGCGGTCGACTACTTGGGAGTCCAGCGACATAGTCATTACTCCAACTACTGGTCCCTCAAATAAGAAACTTCTAATATCACATACAATAACCTATGCAATGGGGAAGGGGGAGAAAATAGCAATATCTTTCAAGTTAAAACACTGTTAGAGAGTCTATAGATATTCTTACCAAACTTTAAATGTCTATTCTTTTTAGCAAGAGAATGTCCCACAATTATGAAGGCAAGATTTAAGCAAGCCAGAAATTCCTAATCAAATATATGGATGGTCCAAAAATATCAATATGCAGGCATTCATGCATTAATTTGTATTCATTCATTCATATATTCATTCAACAAATGTACATTAAATGTGAGAATTGCAAAATGAGTACATCTGTTCCTGCTTCCAGGGCTTCGTTCATAAGACGCGCAACGGCAATCCAGTCTTCTAAAGGAAATCAGACTTTCAACCCAAGCAGCAACCAACCGTAAAGAATCTTTATGTACTCATTAGGCCTCTTTCTTGCTTTTCCATTTAGCTTTCAGAGATTAATACTTTGGATGTAGAGGGTTTCCTTTTTCTTTATGTAATTGTTTGGGACGTTGTAAAAGAAAACAGAGGAATGAATAAAGAGGTCAAGATTTTCAAAAGATGTAAATGTCTTTTCAGGACCGAATATTTTCATATGCTTTGTGTGTTTCCAAACAAATTTAGAAAGTTGGCCTGTTGACATTAATCTTTTTATATCTTTTATAATCTTACATATCTTCTGAAAAATGTAAGTCCTAGTCCTGAGTTATGAAAGTACAAGAGTCATTAGAATTCATTAGTGTGTTGCTGATACAATTTATTGATAATGTTTGCGAGTAAACTAATCACTTGTTTCCACTAGAGAGGACTCCCGTGGGGACTTCCTTCAGGGTTCTGATTAGCTGCTGGGAACGACTTTCCTTGGGTTGTACTTCAGCAAGGAATAGGTCCAGGGCCTGGCATTGCACTTTGTGGATCAGCTGTGGAAATAGTTGTTCTGCATACCCATTTTTCATAGTTTCCAAACTAAAAAGAGAACAATTAAAAAGCCCAAATGTAATTAATTTACTTTAAAAAAAAAACTGCAATTCCGCCAGGAACATTGCTAATTGGCACGTTCCCTCTTGGTCAATATATCAGCACGAAAGGCATCTAACAGTTGATTATGAATAAGAGCAACACGAGGGGGTTAGCAAGAGACCCTACTGGCTAGGATTATCCATTACTGATGATTCAGCCATCTACACTGTAGTTTCAGACTTGCCCAGAGGATGTCACCGTCATGTCACTGGCTAGAGTCTAGACAGAGTAAGGACGTGCTGACAACCACTGCCACTCCCGAACCAGCCCTTTCTTTACTCCTCAGCCTTTCTCTGGACAAGTGGCCCACCCGAGTAATTACATCTGAGTTCACTGAATCACACTCACATTCTCTGCCTTCTTGTGAGAGGACATCAAAGCACCTGAGTAGATTTCTCAATGTAGTCAGAACTCCCTGGATACGTGTTTTCTCGCCAAGTCTTGTTTTCTTCCTCTGGTT